TGTTAATGATGAGGTTGTCAATATATCAGCCATTCTTCTACTCCCAAATTTCTCAAAAGGGACTGGGCTCCCAAATGAAGTAACCAGTACACAGAATCCGACAGAAAAGGTTCTTGATGATAGGATTGGTCATGCTTCACAACCCTTTAGACTAAATGGCAACAGTAGACCTAATGCAAAGCCTGGTGACATGTCTGTCGTTTACATCTGTGAATTACCTGAGATTAAAGGGAAATTTGACCCTGAAAAAGCTAAGGCTTTGGGTCTTAAACCAGGGTCAAAATATCGGGAACTGCAACTTGGAAATTCAGTGCACTCAGATTTTCAAAATATCACGGTTGGTTTCGAAAACTATGAAATAGAGATGTATATAGTAGCTCTGGGCAATGATGTACTCCATAAAAAACTTTAATGTGTATTTAAATTAGTTTATTTACCTTATTTGTTTAGGTTCATCCAAGTGATGTAATGGAACCCTCCATTCCTGGTCCAATTGTATTACTTGTAGACTGCCCAACGGAATCTCATTTGGAGGAACTGGTATCCATAAAATGTCTCAGTCGCTATTATGTGGATTTCTCAGGCCCGCCTGAGAATGCTAAGGGCGTGACTTGTTTCATTCATTTGGGTCCTGCATCTCTAATAAGCAGTCCGAACTACCAGAGCTGGATGAAGAGATTTGGTTTAGCCCAACATATCATGGCTGGGAATGAAAGGTGAGTAGCTTTTCCTATGCAGAAGATTAATTAGGAGCTTCTTGTTGTTTGTTAGTGAAAAGCCCTCTTTGCTTCTCTGTCTGTTTCCAGGAAGAATGTGGAGATTCCAATCCTAAGAGCAAGTGCAAGAATTGCAGCTCGACTTAACTATCTATGTCCACAGTTCTTTCCAGCTCCAGGTTTTTGGTCTCTTCAGAACCTTGATTGTTTGGCACCAGAATCCACTGCTTCAAGTGAGGTTTGTTGTAATATCATTTCTTTTGCATAAATTAGGTTTATTAGAATGTCTGGAAGTTTTCCAGGACCATGATCTTATGTTTATACTTTTAGGCATTAATAGTTATGCTTTTTAAAATTTGGGGCTGATGCTGTTGATAAATTTGGTTTTGTTTTACCAGGGTTCCATTTCAAAGTCTTGTGAAGGCATTTCCGCTGAAAACCTCCTCAAGGTATAAATGGTTGATTTACTTGGATGTGTCTAGTAAGTAGGCTTTTGTGGCTTAAGTCCTACGTCCCTGCTTTCTTTCCTAATCGATACAATGTTTTTCTTCTTTAACACAACTTTATTGCATAAATTTCCATTAGAAATAGAATTTTTCTTATGTCCTTGATTCAGTGTTATTCTTTTTATTTTATTTTTTAAAGTTTCTAATATAAATGGGAGAAGCTTGTATGATTAATCTGATAAATACTTTAGAAGTTTTAGAAGGATTATGATTGGCTGCTTGTACGACCAACAGTCCAGAGAGCAATTTAGCTACCTGGGGGCCGTGATTTGCTCCTGATAGTTTAACAGCGCTTTTGTTTTAATTGCATCATATCTCCTTTTATTTTTCTTTCCTTTTCCCAAGCTAGCTAATAAAGGTTTCCAGCAGCAAAGGGTTATGTTTCTACTACATGTCTGAATGTGTGTTCTCATTAGCATGACTGCTTTTTTTGTAGCATTGCAAGTTCTGCAATCAGTTTACTGATGTACAAATGTTAATAATGGTGATTTTCATGTGTGTTGAACAGTTCACGTTGCGTCCATATGCTCGCCTTGGATTAGATAGGTCTGTTATTCCAAGTCAAGTGGCTTCCTCAGAAATCATTGATGAGTTAATTTCAGAGATTCCGGAGGTTGTAGATGCAGCCCATTGTGTTAGTCGGTTCTGGCACCAGTCTACAGAAACAAACGGAGAGATAAGTTTAACTGAAGGTGATGAAGTTTTGGTTGAAGAGCCATGGTATAATGAGAATACGCTTCCTAGTTGTTTGGAAAATATAAGGAGAGATGACTTGGAGATAGTTCTTTTAGGGACTGGATCATCTCAGCCATCTAAATATCGCAATGTCACTTCTATCCATATCAATCTTTTCTCCAAAGGAGGTTTACTTTTAGATTGCGGTGAAGGAACCCTGGGACAGCTGAAAAGAAGGTAACACCCCATTTGAAATTTTTGAAATACATTTACTAGTACTGAAATCCATTCCCCACTTTAAGATATTACGTTTTATGTACATCAACAACAGATATGGTGTAGAGGGTGCTGATAATGCTGTGAGAGGTCTTAGCTGTATATGGATTTCTCATATTCATGCTGATCACCATACTGGGTTGGCAAGAATACTTACTCTACGACGTGATTTGTTGAAGGGGGTGCCTCACGAGCCATTACTTGTTGTTGGACCGAGAAAGCTTAAGTTCTTTTTGGATGCATACCAGAGACTCGAAAATTTAGATATGCAGTTCCTTGATTGTAAGCACACCACAGAAGCTTCTTTACTTGCTTTTGAGGGTGTTACTGAACCCAATAGGGATTACTCTTCTCCAGCAAGTCCAACCCGTTTTGAGGACATGAGCATTAAAAATACAGAGAGGCAATTAGCGGAGAGAGTTGATTCTACTCTATTTGCTAAAGGATCCCGTATGCAGAGCTATTGGAAGAGGCCGGGTAGTCCTATTGACAACAGTGTAGTTCCAATTGTAAAGAGCTTGCAAAAAGTGCTCAATGAAACTGGTTTGGAAGCCTTGATTAGTTTTCCTGTCATCCACTGTCCGCAGGCATTTGGTGTTGTCTTGCAAGCTTCAGAGAGATTGAATAGTGTTGGAAAAATGATTCCAGGTTGGAAGGTTGTATACTCAGGTGACACTAGGCCCTGTCCGGAACTTATAGACGCATCTCGTGGTGCAACAGTTCTAATACATGAGGCAAGTTATGACGTACTGTGTTTTTTTTTTTTTGTCCGAGTAATAAAAGTGGGCAATTTAGCAAAAAAATGTGGAACTGAAAAGGAGGAGGATTGCAGTTGATCAATTTCAGTTCTGACTCTTGCAGGCAACTTTTGAGGATGGCATGGTGGACGAGGCTGTAGCAAGAAACCATAGCACAACAAAGGAAGCCATAGAAGTTGGGAACTCTGCTGGAGTTTATCGTATCATCCTCACTCACTTCAGCCAGCGATATCCTAAAATCCCAGTACTTGATGATACACACATGCATAAGACATGCATTGGATTTGACATGATGAGTATTAACATTGCTGATTTGCCTGTGGCCCCAAAGGTACTTCCATACTTGAAACTGCTTTTTAGAGACGAGATGATTGTTGACGAGGAAGATGAGTTGATAGAGGCTGCAAGTGTGGCTTCTTGATAAGTACGTCGTTTTCTATTGTAATTTCCTTATTCTTTCAATACTTAATGCGTTATGAATTCAGAAGCAAAGGTGGTTGGGCATATTTAGGATTTTCACCCTTTAGGTAGTGGACTTAACCCTAAATCCTACACTACAAGATTCCGGCGAAAAATGAACCAGCACCAGCAGCTACACACATACACAGCTGGGCCGCTGATTGATAGCATAGTCCCCATTAGTAATTAGTAATTAAAGTTAGCAGTTTATAATTATGCCTCCCTAACAGGTTAATTAGTAGATCAGATTAGTAGAATATTGCAGTATCATCTTTTACTTGCAGTTTAGTTTCTCTTTGCCCCCTATCTAGTACTACAGTATAGTGATATTTTTTTGACGGTTCAAAAAGTTCAATGGCAGTGCTCATATCCGTCTAAAAGTAATTAATTTTCATTTTCCTTCTCCGACAAGAAACATGGAAGAGGTTTTGGTTTATCTCGTGCGGCAGTGCTCCTATTTGCACCTAATTTTTTCGCTCAACAGTTCCTAAAATTTTCTTCGATAATTAGACTATATTGCACGGATTTTTGAAAAATTATATGGCTATTTTTTTATAAAGTTTTTGTAGTATTATGAGCAACTGAGCTTTTATTTTATGAGGTGATGGGTTTGGTTTAGAAAGTGGAACTTAGCTTTGAAATTACAGTTCACAACATACGTACGTGCTTTAACTTCAATATGACACAATTAATCAACTTTGGTTAATGTTTAATCATATGGCATGACTAATTTAATTTCAATGGTTTTCACACTAATCTCTTAACCTACTGTATTTCTAATGTAAGTGCATAAAAAAATGAAGTAAAATCTACAGTAATCAAGTTAAAGTTGACTTGCGAGGCAAGACACCCTTCGTTATAATTGTTTTTATAAGATGTAAAGTTAACGGGTTGTGAGGTAGCATGTCTCCTTGTACCCCAAGTTCGAATCTCCATATTTATAATTTAGATTAAGGTAGAATACAGATCCGAAAACAAAATGTTAAGAAAGTTCATTAGGCGTTCTTAGATTAAAAAAAAACAAAGTTTGTGAGACCTTTTTCATTAATTTTCTAATTATTTTAGGCGCAACAAGACTATAATGGCTGCCCCTCCTCGATCTCGTGTTAGTTACAAATTTGATCGAACCTTCGTCTAATAAAAGGCTGAATTGCATTAATAGTTTCCGTAGTGATAGGATAGTTAGAAGATAACTCCCGTGATAAAAAAAGATTAGGATTTAATCCCCTATAGTAAAGTATGTTAGGATTTAGGCTCAAAAATGAAAATTTCATCGACTCTTTGTTAATTGTTAGAACATGAGGTTCATCGTGAGACTAAAAGGATAAAAGTTTGCCTCATATGTAAACCCCACGTGCTAACAATTTTGTATTAGCCTAATATGTATGGCTTAGGTATTAATAATTAACGAAGAGTCAACCGAATTTTTAATTTTGAGCATAAATCCTAAAAGATTTCACCACAGGAACTAAAATATTTTTTTTTCTTTTTTTTTTTTCCACATGAGCTATCTTCCTACTATCCTATCAACACGGGAACTAATAATCCTATTAGGCCCTAATGAAATGGCTTCAACCCTTGATTCTTAAGTTATCAACACTCCAAAATAGTGCATGTGTAACTTTTACCAAGCTGCTTGAATTGTTTGAACTGCATTTCTATCAATGAACAGCCAAGAAATTTACAACACACAGGGAATTCGAAAATCAAACTACAACTGACCAGACGAGCAACCACATTCGTAATCGAAGATAAATGCTTTTGGCTTGTGTCTGTCAGCATATGTTACAATTGTACAGGCTTTTCACTTTTGGCTGTAAGTTTGTACAAGTACAAGGAGAGGAAAAACGCAAAATCGCAAAATCGCGTGGATAACCCAAAGAATTCCAGTAAATCTTTCCCAAGCCAAAAGATGATGCAACGAACTGAAGACGTTAATATTTTATCATAAAGCAACAGATGAATCTGGCAAGTGATCCACAAATTTAATTGTCGATTGCAGATATCTGTTGTTTGTGCTCATACACGACTTCCCGGTCTCTATTAGATTCGAGCAAATTGATGATATTTCCTGACTTAGCTGCCAAACAGAGCAGACAAAAGCAATTAAGAAAATATGTGGAGAAAATATTGTATGTGATGTTAGGTCCAAGAAACAAAATATGCAGACACCAAAGTTGGTTCCGTGATCAAGGACGGGGAGGTCATTTTATAAACATTGCTTAAGCAGCAACGCGTTAGCCATGCTCTCTCCCAGCATCATCATGGGAAGTGCAGTATGCATTCCACAAAGATTGTCTCCAAGAAGACATGGAGCTTTTGAGCAATAGCTTTTAGCAGCTGGTTATCTTAAACAAGTTTGAGGCTATGAGCAGTAATACTCAGATCATACTCGGAGTGGAAATGACAACATCAACTCCACTCGCGAGTGCCATTTCATTGCACTTATATTCATACAGTTATGAGGCGTTTAATGTACCTCGTCACCTGAATAGCTGTATTATAAGGGAGATCATATTATGATAGAGCGTTCTACACAGTCAGTTCAGCAGTTGGCATAGGAACTTACAATCAAAGATGATGCAATGCAGTTGCAAGCTTCAAGCGCCATGCTCCCGCGAGCAGCCTGAGTTTTAATCAATCACATCCGTATATCAGCATCACCAAAATGGAAGGGGAAAAGGAAAGCCCACATTGAAAGTTATTGTTACCTTGGAAGGTTCTTGTTGAATAGCATCAACGAGGTTCTGAAGAACAAACTCGCAAAATGACGCAAGCTCATGTAAATATGATGAATCACCAAAGAACAATACGTCATTTCCTAGAAGCTGATGATATTTTCTCATCCAGAAAAATAAAAACGGAATATTAGCAGGCAGAAGATGACAGGATCTCACATGAAATACAAGAACAACATAAAAAGCACCGCTGCACAAGATAGTGTACGCAGACGCACCATTCCCTTCATCCCTCCCTTCCCCCCACCCACATTTATTCAAGACATATCTGGCCATTTCTGAATATTTTATGTATGAATTTTCAGAACTTTGACAATTGAAAACTTTTGAGAACAAATTTCTACAAAGAATCAAACTGTGTACCTTTTCACCATCTGCATGATAAGGGAGATTTCGTTGAGAAAGTGCTGCTAACAGAGAAATAATTGCACAAAAAACTTTCACCCTCATTCTTGGTGTCATCCTATAACAATATCTTACAACATCAAAACGAGAAGTATACAAAAATCTATGTATTACAAAAAATAAATTGATGCAAGGTTCTCAATATTAAGGTTGTCATTGAAGACTCACCATGACTGAGAGTTAAGTAGCGACACCAAGTTCTTCGGAAAGTACGTCACTCCATCTTCAGGATTACCTTCTCTTGGAAAAGACAAGTCAAACAAAATATACGGTATTTTGTTTTTCTTATTATAATTTGCTGGGGAGGGGATAACTTGGGAAACTCAAAAAAACAAATGGACAATGTTCAGAAAGTGACCAAGAAAAATAAAAATACAGATGCAATAGGTTTACTGATCTACAAACTACAAGAAGATGGAAAGGAACGAAAAAGAAAAAGAAAAGAGTAACAACCTGGAACCATAACCAAGAAGCTGAATAACTTTTGAACTGAGGAGAGTACTGCGTCAGCATCAATCGGTGGTCTGGAGCCTACACAAGAAAACAAGAAATCTTTGTTCATTTGTGTTTTTATTTGCTACGGAATACGTTTCCTTTGCTATGTAGATGTTACATAAAAAAAAAAAATCCATAGATACAACTATGAGCAGCTTAAATTTTATAACGAAATTAGCTATAGTACATACACACAATGAGACTTTCAATTATGGAATACCGCATGCCATTTGGGCCGTCAATTGTGAAAGTCAATGCCATCAATGGCATTGGAGGGCATCACACATCCATGTCATGCCAATAATACAACAAGTATGTATGTATAATGTAGGACCCTTAATCAACTTCCCTTGGACCCAAGAACAAGACCCAACTGGTGGTTGGGGCGTTGGAACACCAAGGAAGCCGAATTTAAGGACACCCACCTTAGGGTTTCGTTGGGTGCGAGCCAATTTGAGGGCCTTCCTGGCCAATTTGGACTCGGCCACATGTATAAAGTTTACTCTACTTGTTGAAATCTTTACAACAACAACAACAACAAAACATTTTCCCACTAAGTGGGGTCGGCTATATGAATCATAGAACGCCATTGCGCTCGGTTTTGTGTCATGTCCTCCGTTAGATCCAAGTACTCTTAAGTCTTTTCTTAGGGTCTCTTCCAAAGTTTTCCTAGGTCTTCCTCTACCCCTTCGGTCCTGAACCTCTGTCCCGTGGTCACATCTTCGAACTGGAGCGTCAGTAGGCCTTCTTTGCACATGTCCAAACCACCGTAACCGATTTTCTCTCCTCTTTCCTTCAATTTCGGCTACTCCTACTTTACCTCGGATATCCTCATTCCTAATCTTATCCTTTCTCGTGTGCCCACACATCCAACGAAGCATCCTCATCTCCACTACACCTACGTGTTGATGCTTCACCGCCCAACATTCTATGCCATACAGCATTGCCGGCCTTATTGCCGTCCTATAAAATTTTCCCTTGAGCTTTAGTGGCCTACGACGGTCACACAACACGCCGGATGCACTCTTCTACTTCATCCATCCAGCTTGTATTCTATGGGTGAGATCTCCATCAAATTCTCCGTTCTTTTGCAAGATAGATCCTAGGTAGCGAAAACGGTCGCTCTTTGGCATTTCCTGATCTCCGATCCTCACCCCTAACTCATTTTGGCCTCCGTTTGCACTGAACTTGCACTCCATATATTCTGTCTTTGATCGGCTTAGGCGAGGACCTTTAGATTCCAACACTTCTCTCCAAAGGTTAAGCTTCGCGTTTACCCCTTCCTGCGTTTCATCTATCAACACTATATCGTTTGTGAAAAGTATACACCAAAGAATATCATCTTAAATATTAAGTTTGTGATCTTCGCTAGATTGCTCCGGTCATTAGTGTGGATAAGTATGTAAATGGATAGAGACAGGAAGCAAACACAAGATGTACGTGGTTCACCCAGATTGGCTACATCCACGGAGTAAAGGAGTTCTCATTAATTGTGAAGGGTTTACATAGTATATAGGTTCAAGCTCTCCTTTAGTGAGTACAAGTGAATGATTTAGTACAAATGACATTAGGAAATATTGTGGAAGAATGATCTCGTAATCACGAAACTTTTAAGTACCGAAGTGTGGTATCGTCTTCACTTGCCTTATCTGTCTCATAGGTAGATGTGGCATTTTCTTTGGGAGTACTCTTCCTCCCTCCAGGGGTGGTATCTTTAACTGGTGGAGATGCACAAGGTAATGTATCAATTTCACTTGACGCTTACTTGTAGTTTCAGGCTTGGTCAAGCGCGATACAAACCATGTAGTAGGAGTCCCCCAAGTCGCCGAGCTAGGGGATCTGCCGAAAGAGGTGACAGAGAAGGTAAGCAATCAGAGCTCCAAGCAATCAGTCCCAGATCAGAAGTTTGATTTCGAGTTCCGGCTGATTGTTATCCTTCTCCTTATCTTGCAGGTAGCATGAAGGATAAAGAGAAGAAAAGGAGAAAAGGTGATATGAGATACTTTTGCTTTTGAAGAAGTAACTTTCCACAGGCTTATTCTTGAACTGGGCTGGAGGGTTTTCTGTTTCCGCCAGAGTATAAGGCCGACTGAAGAATTTGAGGGTCAAAACAAGTCCATCAAATCTAGAGTACGTTCGACCCTGCTGATATGGGATACTTTTGCTGTTGACAAAGTAGTGGATGTATCGGCACGTGTTCTGTTGCGCTTGTCTCCACATGCTTCCTTGTATCCTTCTCACTTGCCCTATTTGTTCCTCAGGCAGATGTGGTATCTTCTCGGGAAGCATAAGATGTTGAAGATGAGTACTCGAGAGCAATGAGGTTCCAGGCAGTCAGTTTTGGACTGGAAGCTTGATTCCAAGTGCTGACTGATTGCTCTCTTTCTCCTTGTCTTGCAGGTAAGAACAAGGCCAAAGGAAAAGACAGGGAAAAAGCATGATATGGGATACTCTTGCTTTTAACCCTGATGATATGAGATATTCTTGCTCTAGTGTAGCTTGTTTGCAGAGGTATTCTTGGGGGGAAAGAAAGCTGAGTATTTCGAGAGGCTTCGTTGGGAGTGCCCTCTCAGATATGAGGAAGGGTTGAGCATTTTTGCAGGTCTGCCTGTCCGTTGAGGATGGAGGTCGACATATATAGGAGTCTCCCTAACAAGGAGTAATACTATTCTTTTACCCTGCTTGGTCATAGCACGGCAGTGGGGAGCTGCCAGCTTCACGTGTTTTAACTCTGTCAGAGCACTTTGAAAAAGTGGTCTGTGGTATCTGGAAAGCTGATGTTACGTGTGAAGATTATAGACAAGCTTTATCCAAGGAGATCTGGCTCTCGAAGTTGGGAAAACGGTGTGAGGATTACAGACAAGCTTTATCTAAGGGGCTCTCGAAGTTGAGAAAGCGGTGCCTCTTCGGTTTCGAACAAGCAATCCTGTCGGGGATCTGTCTCTCGAGATTCGGAGAACGGTGCCTCTTCGATTTTTGAGAAAGCAATCCTGCTAGGAGTCTGGCTCTCGAGATTCGGATAGCGGTGTCTCGTCGCTTTTTGAGAAAGTAATCATGTTGAGAGTCTAGCTCTCGAGATTCGGAGGACAGTGCCTCTTCGATCTTGAAGCAAGCAATCTTGTTGGGAGTGTTTTCTCGAATGTGAGTAAAGGTTAGGCCTGTTTGCTAGTCTACCTTGCCACGGAGCACAGAGGTTGACCCACAGGAACTTTCCAATTATCCAGCAATGGTCCTGTTCCTTTACCCTTGTGGGTAATAATATGGTAGCTAGACCTTCAAAATTTATGTGTCTAAACTTTGTTAGTGCTGTTTCTTTGCTATTCTTTTACCCTTCTTGGTCATAGCGATGTAATGGGAGCTGCAAGCTTCATGTGTCTAAACTTTGTCAGAGATTTTTGGCACAGTTATCTGTGGTACCCGTGAGCTGATGTTGCGTGTGGAAAGTGAATGATTGAACAGTAACATTCACGTGCTTTCTACTTCACTAGAAATCTTTGACAAAATGCCCGTAATTTCCGCAAAGTTGAGTGTGCATGTGACAGGTGCTAACAAGGCTGAAAAAGCAGATGCCTCTTTGATTTCTGAGATCGGCCCTCGGTCTCTGAGCAGCCCAGCTTTTGAGAAAGCAAGCGCCTCTTCGATTTCTGCGATCGACCTTCGTGGTTTTTGAGCAACCCAGCTTTTGAGAAAGCAAACGCCTCTTCGATTTTTGAAATCTTTATTCCTGTAAAATTTGAGACACCTGAGATCCACACTAACGCACTCAAACACGATAGTCAAGGCATCATGTTCTATCACCGCCTAACAAGGTACAAACCACATTTAGATTTCCTTCGACAATTCACATACTTAAAACTCTCATATATTTCCCACAACAACATTTAATGAGGAATCGAACTATCATTCTAAGGTAGGGTCCATGATCTTACGTCACTTATTCCGTAATATCTAATCACTAGATTTTCACTTGTAAGTCCCTAAGGTCCTTAAACATTATCTACCATAGCATACTAAAATTGGTGTCAATTCAATGGTAAGATCATCAATCGCTAGAATAATCAAGTGGCGGAGCTTATCGATAAAATACTCAACCAACAACATTTTTATAAATCGAATGTCACACACCAGAAAATTTGACTTTCTCCATGCACATGATGGATGTAGAATAGAATGATAAACTAGTATAGTTGGATGACAGAAGGTTGGGTATGTAGAAACCAAAATGGTGTGATGCTTTGTTACCAAACTATGCTTCAATTTTGGAGAAAACGGGTAAATCGAAAAGTTCATATTGACAATTAATAACGAAAGTTTAATATAGTTGTAAATTGTTTTTTATTTTCTAGCATCACTCTAGACCCTTGATTACGTGAAATCATGACTGAATGTGGTTGATGGAGGAGCTAACTGGCAGCAACCCTTTAAAAGTTTATCAAAAGCATGGTAAGAAGGTACAAGGCTGAAGTCCCAATTTAAAATATGCTGGATGATGTTGGGGCATACTTGGAGTCTTGCATAATTGGTATGCGTGCATCCAATCAATCCTAGCTGCTGTTATATGTGCCTTATTGAGGAGCCAAGAGTCGCTTAATGTCTAGGGTTCATGTAAGTCCCAACTAGAACTCTATATAAGGCTCGCGAACCCTTCTTTTCAATTGATGAATATTACATAAATTTTGTTCCTATATCAAGTCCCATTTATAAGAGAAAAGTAAAGAAAAGAAAAGAAAAGAAAATTTCATTATTATGAAAGAAAATCAAATCAAATTTCACTCATAATTATATAAAAAACTTCTAGGATGATGGCATGATGCTAATACTTAGTCATATGATGATTTCACTCTGAGAGAGAGACATGAACTAACCATCCATTACGTCTAAACTTTGCAAAGAGTTGATCGCAGAATCAATCAATCCATCCGAATGAGAAACTAAGCCACCCAGTAGAGCGACCTGAACTATTTATACAGGAATGAGTAAAAATATATGGTTAATTGATGTGCAACACGATCACACTAAAACAGAACATTACCTCTGCAGTCTCAAGATAAAGATTTAACTGCATAATCTGGCTTGAAATAGAAGGTAAAGTGACTTCAGAAAATGCTATGCAGGATTTGACAAAACTGAGATGTTTTGCATCTTTCAAAGCCTTAATCGCTAAACAATTACTGGAGTGAATGAGAGTTTCCTGAAAGTGAATTTAAGTGTTAAGTATGCAAGGAATATATAGTTATAAATGGAAGTACATATATTTGCTACTATGGGAATTCTCTTCTGGAAAACAATCCAGGTTGTTTTAAAGAGAGAGTCCATTCATTGCATCTTTTAAGCAAAACTTATCATTAGAAAGTTCAATGCAATTGCATAGAACAAATTATCAGTATGATTAAAAGAAATTGGAATCATCGAGGTTTAACCTTAAGCCCGCGTATGCTACCAAAAGTTCCACGACATTCAACTAAGAATGCCAACTGACTCTCAATCTCTGCTCCATAATCAACCTGACAATGAAGAGCAGCAATAAAGGTCAGACAGCCAGAAGGATTGCCAGTTTGCCACCATAAAAGAGTCCCAACATTCTAATATGTAGGTAAATATTAATTTTACCAGAGATACAAACTGAGAAATCAAACGTGTTGGTTGGTTATCATCTTTTAGATTCACAAAATTTTCGTCATGATGCAGAGCCTGAGAAATTTCAAGAAGAAACTGTATAGTTCTTGGATCACGTATACAACCCTTCCTGCCAAATGAATAAGAAAATGTTAAATTACTCCAAGGAAATCGAAAGAGCGATTCACACACCATTGATATATTAGTAAGAAGACGACAGGAATCACAAGACAGACACTGTAAGGAACCTAGGATCTTAGCATTCATATTTTAGATCACGACGCTTTGGGTTTCTTAACCAGTATTCTGAGAGACACGTATCCAACCTCCATGTTTCCAAATTCATCAAAACATTTCTACATAAATATTATGAAATAGCATGAAGGCAGCTGAAAATGTTCACCATCAGGAGGGCCGTACTCTAATTTGACTAGTTTCAAACAGTTCTGAAATTGAGAGCATATTTGTCTTTCAAAAGGAACAATAACACTGAAGTGAGGTACTAACTTGATAAAGTGGATGCTGAATATAGATTAACTAAAATGTCACCTTATACCCATATCAAGGATATGGATATTGACAATGCTTCGTGAATTTCCATACATCAGATCCAAGATCTTGAGAAAATGATTCTACAAAATAACAAACACTTAGTAGTGGAATAAGATGTTATGGTTTTAAACAACGCAACCATAAAAATAAAACCAAGTGATCATTATGTTAAAACTAACACTGCAGTACAAACAGGAAAAAAATGGGCTTGTTGCACAAGTACAAGGAGAAGCATACCATGGAAAACATGTCTTCTATGTCCTTGCAATATGAAAGAAGCTTCACCAAAATGGACTGCAAGGTTGCCAGTTCATCATCAGCAATCCCTTTAGTGCATGCTCGTTTTGAAATGCCTTCTAAAATGGAGCTTAGATGGTCATCCTGGCAAAACATCAAAAAAGTCAGAGGAAAACTGAACTGGCATGAAGATACTAATGTGTATATACACAAGTTCGCATGAATCACTGAACATGAAGTTAATAAATAGCAGGTATTATAGTTACAAGAAATATCTTATAAAATAACATTAAAGAGAAGTCCCACAAAAACAGAGTGGAGACATTTCAATTTAACTCAGCTAAGGTAAGCCGTCTTTCCCATTAAATGGCAACAGAGTATAACTAAATGTGGGGCAACTCCTCTGTTGATGCACAAAATCGGGTCGATCTTGGACCAACGTAAATCCGACCATGAATCACATAAACGCACAAGAACACAAAGATATATCGTGATTCACCTCAAGTTGAGGCTACGTCCACACTGGTGTTGATTCCATTTCACTATGTAAATAAATGTTGAGTATACATGGAGGCTATGGAGGCAGTGCTTGCTCTCTTTTGCTATCTGTTTTCTCTTGCTCTCGTCGAGTCTCCTTTTTTGTTCTCTCAGAGTCTCATGGAGTCTCTCCTAAGTGAGTGTGAGGGAGCCCTTTTATAGAATAAGGGTTTCCTCCCCTCTTACATGAATCATGGGCTAAGTAATGAAGCCCAAATACCTAGGCCCAATATATAGTACAACAGAAGTCCCCCAACTCTTCAGTCAAGAGACTTCAAATTCAATCTATGTGTGGGCCGAAGTAACTAGATGTCGTCCAGAACTAGTACTCGACATGAGGCAATGCTCAACGTAAAGTAATACTCAGCTAGAGGTATCACACGTTGCAAGGCTGCTTGGCTAGAGGCAATGCTCGCAGCGAGACGGTTGCTCGGCTGGAGGCGATGCTCGTTACAAGGCGGCTCGTCTCGTGGCGTTCCTCGTTGCGAGTATGCACTCAACATCAGCGTGCACTCAATATGAGTTAACTCTCGACATGACTCGAGTCTGCTTGTCGAGTTCGCATATTGGATCTATGTGGCGGGTCTGCGGATTGGGTCCACAAGTCGGCTCTTTGAGTCGGGGTCATCCGTAGGGTCCGTGAGTTGGGTTCGTGAGTCGGGGTTCGAGCTCAAATGTGTCCAATCTTGTAACTGCCTGAACGAATGGGTGTCCAAGCACATAGGTGTCCAAATGAGCGAGTGTCCGAGCAAGTGGGTGTCCGGTCAGAAAAAAGATCACCGTTCGGACTAAATCTTTGTCACCATAAGCATGTGATTCACTAGTCTATAAGTTAGTAGACTTCTTTAATCCGTAACAATGTTGATCAACATAGTCCGTGCTATGAACCACCAAACTTATGTCACCCTAACATTCAAATAATAAAAGTGTAATTTGGTCAGACTTGCCACGTATTATGGGAAAGTCATGTGATAAACCATTAATAAGATACAAAGATTAGCGATATTATAACAAAATTAAGCGGCGTGCGAACAGCTAGTATGTAGCCTAAAATGTTGCTCCTAGTATATGTGATGCAAACATCAAATAATAAAATAATATGAGCTGCATGCAAGCGTCTGTTGATAAGTTTTCAAACAAGAGCTGCCGAAACAATATTTACAATATTATCAATTTCAAAGGAAAAGTAAAGACATCGTGCGGACTAGCTTGTATACTTTCGACTGCCAACTCACATCCACTTTCAGCAAATAAAAAAAATGAAAAGTAAAGATATCATCATGATGTTTGTGGGGGAAGGGTTAAGAGCAAAAGTAGGAATATAGTCACTTTCAGTAAAGATATCTGTCAATCCGTGGAGGCAAGCTCCACTTACAATTCTTTTGTGTTTTTATTATTTCCTTTTCTTCTTTTTCCACATCATGATTGATTCCAACCTTCCAATATGGTACAATTCTTCTGTTATACCATATATTGGGCCTCGGTATTTGGGCTTCATTACTTAGCCCATGATTCATGTAAGAGGGGAGGAAACCCTTATTCTATAAAGAGGCTCCCTCACACTCACTTAAGCAGAGACTCCATGATACTCCATGAGACTCTGAGAGAACAAAAGAGGAGACTTCGCGAGAGCAAGAGAAGATAGATAGCAAAGGAGAGCAAAGAGAGCGAACACTGCCCCCATAGCCTCCATGTATACTCAACATTCATTTACATAGTGAAACGGAATCAACACCACTGTGGACGTAGCCTCAACTTGAGGTGAATCACAATATATCTTTGTGTTCGTGTGCGTTTGTGTGATTCACGGTCGGATTTACGTTGGTCCAAGATCGACCCAATTTTGTGCATCAACATTTGACGCCGTCTGTGGGAAACGACACGAAAAGCTATGTCGGTTCTCTTTCATTTTTTCATCTCACCACCGTGAAACCCTCACAACTGTCCACCGTGAATCTGCACAACCTAAGACCCTACTCGATCTGCAACCAGGGGTTTCAGAAAGACCAGAATCTGCAGATGCACAGGAGACGTCACCAAGTCACCAACCAGTTTATCCTCCTCAACGGTCCGGCTAAAACTGAGCATGTGTCCATCGGACTGCGGATCCGAAACTATGATATCAGACCTTCTGTCTCTATGGCGGCAACAGAGCAAAAGCGACCTTCTGTTTCTCTATGGGTGCAACAGAGCAAAAGATAACAAGAGACCCCAGGTCTGGGGCCGCCCCAGATGATCTTGGTGAAGAGGATGACGTCGAAGCGCTTCCAGCCGAGCTCGCAGATGGCCTAGCCCATGATCTCCTCGGCGCGGCCTGAGGCGTAGACCATGGCGTTGTCGAAGAAGTTGACGCCATGGTCGCGGAAGGTCTGGAGGAGGGACTTGGCCTCCTTGACGTCGAGCTGGTTGCCGAAGCTGACCCAGGCGCCGTAGGAGAGCTGGCTCACTTTGAGGCCGGACCGGCCTAGGTTCTTGTACTGCATATTATTCGACACCGTTGTAGAGACACTGAGTCTGCGAGGAGTCAAATGATGGGGAGTGGATCGGCCTACGAAACCCACCGCCTTCATCTGCGAGATCAGGGGACTCTAAATATTTCAAAACCCCATAAAAATCTTGCTGATGACGTCGACGATGAACTCACTGTCTCTAACCCTCTGTACCGGCAACGGTATTCCGTCTCAGGCCCTCATTCCACCGAGGAAGATAAGACTCTTTACCTTCTCCAAATTACACCTCATAAAAGTTATTTATTTAATATTTGATTATTATTTTATGATATTTGTTACATGAGTGCGGCACTTCACAAAACTTTCACATTGCTAGTGGAATAATAAAATGGAAAGGTTGGAATCAATCATGATGTGGAAAAAGAAGAAAAGGAAATAATAAAAACACAAAAGAATTGTAAGTAGAGCTTGCCTCCACGGATTGGCAGATATCTTTACTGAAAGTGACTATATTCCTACTTTTGCTCTTAAAACTTTCCCCACAAACATCATGATGATATCTTTACTTTTCCTTTTTTTTTTATTTGCTGAAAAGTGGATGTGAGTGGGCAGTCGAAAGTATACAAGCTAGTCCGCACGATGTCTTTACTTTTCCTTTACTTTTCCTTTGAAATTGATTATATTGTTTTGGCAGCTCTTGTTGAAAACTTATCAACAGACGCTTGCATGGAACTCATATTATTTTATTATTTGATGTCTGCATCACATACACTAGGAGCAGCATTTCAGGCTACATACTAGTTGTTCGCACGCTGCTTAATTTTGTTATAATATCACTAGTCTTTGTATCTTATTAATGTTTTATCACATGACTATTTCCCATAATAGTGACAAGTCTGACCGAATTACACTTTTATTATTTGAATGTTAGGGTGATATAACTTTGGTGGTTCATAGCATGGACTCCGTTGATCAACATTGTTACGGATTAAAGAAGTCTACCAACTTATAGACTAGCGAACCACATGCTTATGGTGACAAAGATTTAGTCCAAACGGTGATCTCTTTTCTGACCGAACACCCACTTGTTTGGACACTCGCTCATTTGGACACCTATGTGCTTGGACACTCGCGAGCTTAGACACCCATTCGTTCGGGCAGTTACAAGATTGGACACCTATGTGCTTGGACACTCGCGAGCTTGGACACCCATTCGTTTGGGCAGTTACAAGATTGGACACCCTTGAGCTCGAACCCCGACTCACGGACCCAGCTACGAACGGCCCCGACTCAGATCCGACTTGTGGACCCAACTCACAGACCCTACGGATGGCCCCGACTCAAAGACCCGACTTGTGGACCCAATCCACAGACCCGCCACATAGATCCAATATGCGAACCCGACAAGCAGACTCGAGTCATGTCGAGAGTTAACTCATATTGAGTGCACGTTGACGTTGAGTGCATACTTGCAATGAGGAACACCACGAGCCGAGCCGCCTTGCAACGAGCACTGCCTCCAGCCAAGCAACCGCCTCACCGCGAGCATGGCCTCTAGCCAAGCAGCCTCGCAATGTGTGATACCTCTAGCTAAGTATTACTTTGCGTTGAGCATTGCCTCATGTCGAGTACTAGTTCTGGACGACATCTAGTCACTTCGGCCCACACATGGATTGAATTTAAAGTCTCCAGCCAAAAGACTCTCTTGACTAAAGACTTGGGATACTTCTGTTGTACCATATATTGGGCCTCGGTATTTGAGCTTCATTACTTAGCCCATGATTCATGTAAGAGGGGAGGAAACCCTGGCTCCCTTACACTCACTTAAGCAGAGACTCCATGAGACTCTGAGAGAACAAAAGAGGAGACTCCACGAGAGCAAGAGAAGATAGATAGCAAAGGAGAGCAAAGAGAGCAAACACTGCCCCCATAGCTATTAGGGAGAATGATAAGTCATCCAATATAGTTACTGTTAAATAGTTGTTAAAGCTAAATGTAATTGTTTTTGTTAGTAACTGTGATTAGTTTAGGTAGTTGAGGGTACTTTTGTAATTAGCCTAAGGCAGCTAAGGCTATATATATTGACACCTGTGTAACTGAATTATTCATTCAATACAATCAGGAAAACTTACTGTTGAAGTTTTCTGTTTCTATATG